TCCGTCAACTCCAAACTCACCGTAGACTACTACAAAAAATCATGCCCCAGGTTCGAGGAAATTGTCCGGCAAGTCGTCACAGATAAGCAGATGCAGGCACCTACAACCGCCGCCGGCGTCGTCCGCCTTTTCTTCCACGATTGCATGGTTGAAAGTTGCGATGCCTCCATCCTCATTGCATCCACCCACAACAGAAAAGCCGAGCGCGACCATGACATCAACCTCTCTCTCCCCGGCGATGCCTTTGACGTCATCACCCGCATCAAGACCGCCCTCGAGCTCGAATGTCCCGGCATTGTTTCCTGCTCAGACATTATTGCCATTGCAACGAGAAACTTGGTCGTCATGGTGGGTGGACCTCACTACGAGGTTCGATTTGGGCGGAAAGACGGCACCGTATCGGACACCAGCCGGGTAGACGCCAGCCTCGCTAAAACCACCACACCAATTGACCAAATCATCACCATGTTCGGGGAAAAAGGGCTTTCGGTGCAAGAACTTGTTGCCCTCCTCGGGGCTCACACAATTGGATTCACGCATTGCAAGGAGTTCGCTAAAAGAATTTATAATTTCAGCCCTACGTCGCAGAACGACCCGCAAATGGATCCGGAATACGCAGAGGCCTTGAGGAAACTGTGCATGAACCACACGATGGTGCCGCAAATGTCAGCGTTCAACGACGTGTTCACCCCGGGAAAGTTTGATAACATGTATTATAAGAATCTGAGGAGGCGAATGGCGCTGCTTCAGTCAGATCAGGCGGTGGCGACAGACAAGAGGACGAGGCCGTTTGTGGACTTGTACGCGGCTAATCAAACAGCATTCTTCGAGGCCTTTGGTCGAGCAATGCAGAAGGTTAGTATTTTGGGAGTGAAGACGGGCAGGAAAGGAGAGGTGCGACGCAGATGTGATCAGTTTAACAATTTCCATCCCTGAAAAAGAGAAAGGAACCAGATATCGATGCTGCGTTTTAATGGGGGATTCTTTTTTTATTTTAAATTTTATAATTAAATTCTTTTTTGGTGCATGAGTTAACCACTGCATGGCTTTTTTTTTTTTTTTTTTTGAATCCGTGAATCTTTTCATCCAGTAGACATATAAATCTAATCTGTTGTTGGGTGTTTGATTCAGTGAACCACTCAGAGAGCATTTAAAGCTTCAACTCATAATATCAGTGTCTTGTTTCTTTCCTTTCTGCTTCTTTTGTACGTGCATGTGAATGTGCATGTCATATTTTCTTTGTTTTTTTTTTTTAAATTCTGTATTTGGTATTCTGTTAACAACTTATGAATTTGTTTGTCCAAAAAACAGGCTTCATATTAGATTGGGACGACAAAAATGAGACTATCTGCCTTTGTTTTTCCCTTGTCCTTTTTTAAGCAATCATACCTGTCAATGTGTCAATAATTTTCAAATCCAACATAATATCTCCTTAATGTACATTATTTGAGTTCTAAGTTTCCAATCATTTAAGTTATAAATTTCAACGTCGCACTAATCTTGCCTTCTTGTCAAAATCATTAAACTCACTTTGTTCGAGAATTCAACGAGATACTGTTCATTTTTCTGTTTAGTAAGTTCATATTTTTTTTCCTCCAGTTATCATGGGATGATGAGTTGCCAGGTTATACATTTTGTTCGCTTTCTTACATTTTTCCAGAAGTGTACAGTTACATTTATTTCGTCAGTTGGATCTTTTCCAATTATGGATAACCGAGAATGCAAAAATAAATTAAATCCAGCATAAGCATAAGCTTCTTAAAAATACACAACTATTTATTCACGTATAACTCTAAAAAAACTTTACATATCACACCATTTATAATTTAAAACAAACCCAGATCATGTTAGAAATAATTAGTTATATGTAATAATTATGAATATTTTCAGATCTCTGAGAAAAAAGGAATATCAGGCTCAATCTACAAAAATAAAAAACAAAAATCCGTCCCCTTTCGACAAAATAAAGTAGAATCATTTCAAATTATTTCATAAATACTATGTGCTGCTAAATTAAGCTCACTTAATATCTGTTCATCTGAAACATAATTATTGATTTAAAACTGATTCACTAATACAAAGCTCATCCATTCCGATTTTCAATTCCCTTATAAGCAAAAGATAAAACTAGTTCCAAGAGTTTTTTTTTTCCCTTTCACCGTGAATAACCAATAAGAAGATTTGAAGAAAGATCTTCAACAATAATTTACATATCTTGCCCGGTAAAACCAAGAAACATATTAAAAAAGGAGGGACCACGGGGACAACAGGCAAAATAATGGAAAAAAAAAAAAAAAGATTTAGAATTTTACTAGCAAAGAGAGGTTGCCAGCTTTCAGTTGCTGGAGAAATGGAGCCACTCCTTCCCCGTTATCACCTCAACATTATCCATGATTCCACTCTAATTGGCCTCATACTCAGCTCCCACAGATGCCTAATCACCGCGGTAATGAGGGTGGTGGTACATGATTAAATTCATTAACCCAATTCACATACCTGAACGCAATCCAATGCTATTAGAATTAACAATATTATCCAGATTGGAGCAAAAGGTTTCTAAGAGAGAGTTTACGGCAAAGTATTTTTACCACAATCAACAAGGTTTTCTCTTGTCAACTTTTAGGTGTAAATTGTACCATCTCTTCTTCTTCGCTCTATCCCTCAAGCTTGGCTTCTTCTCTCTCACTTCACCATCTTCTTTGATCTCCTTGGAAGAGCTTCTGCTCCTGTTCCTACTTGAACTCCGCTTAATTGGCGGGCCAGTTGTGTAAGAGGCATGGATTTCATTTCTTTGCTTAAGAAGCTCATCAATCTGCAGAAGCAAGTGAATCATTCACAAAAATTTGAATTCATTCAAAGCCCATTCTGTGATGGTCTGGGAATATAATTTCATCGCAGAATAACTCACTGCTTGCATTTCTCTGGCATATCTACTAGTCATCTCCGTGAATTGTGCTAGGACCTGTCAATAATCAACATTAATACAAACCCCAAAGTGATAGAAAGGCTTCTGCAGTGGATCACTCAAACACACACCTCTCTGTATTCACTTTCAAACTTGGATAGTTCAACTCTTTTAGACAAGATCTGAGTTTCCACAGCCCTAAGGTTCTCCTTTTCTTGGGTAAAAGGAGCAGCACAAAGAGCTTCTACTGTATAGCTTACGCTTTTGAAGAAATTGTCACCTGAAAGTATGTGAAAAACTAGAGGTGAGTCCACTCAATGTGTGTCAGAGAGCCCAGAAACATGAATTATCCAAATGCAATTGAAGTAGAAGCTGACCATATATAGCAAATACGTGAATTCCAGCCCTTAGCTCAGTTATTTCACATGGTCGAAAGCCATCCAATTTTTTGAAAAAAGCAGCATCTGGATCCTTTGCTAAAGCCACCTGAAGCCAAAAAAACCAAAAACCAAAAACCAAAAACCATGTTGTATCAATTGAGCAAGACAATTTAAAAAATCAGTAGCTAATACATCCTTGTAAACTTGATTAGCTTACCGAGTTTACTGTCTGATCCAACCGATAAACAGGGAAGCCAAGAAAATACATTCCAGCAGATGTGACCCTTCCAGTTTTCATGCTGTCCTCCTATAACAAAATAAACTAAACTATTAGTGAACAAAACATATGTAAGAAACGCTACTAGCAAAAGTACCACTGTAGCAATAACAAGTTACTACTTAATGAATTCAAGTTTACAGAAAATAATTTTTTTTTTTAAACAACCACCATCTTAGATCAACTTATTTATTGGAGTTTATCCAAATCCCCCAGATAACATTTAAAGAAACTATAGTTTCAGTGGTAGATAAAATCATCCACACAATCATTCACCAAGAAGAAAGAAGGAAAATTATTTGAAGCAGAACGGGCAATTGAGTTTCCTGCATGCACATGTTGAGCCATGGAGGAGGAATACATATGTGATTATGGAAGTTTAATATTCTGATCCTTTTTCTTAGTATCTCCCAATCAACAATTCCCTTTCCCCTAGGTTTTGAAATAACGTCATAAAGCAAAAGTCCATCACAGGATAAGGTACATAACAAAAAGTAGCAACTATTTATTACCAAATGAGTGTTATCAGGACTGACAATGGAAAATGACAAAGATGTCAACTGCTGCCCTACAATTTACTTTTCCTCACATTCAACATGTTTGACTAAACTACAGAAATTTGTGGAGAAGAATATTTGTTATCTGGGCAAAGCAAAATTATCATGAAGCAGTAAATCTGTATTTTCCAAAGACAGTTCAACGAAGAAACTGGCATCTAGAGATGCAAAACAGATGTTAGTTACACCTACAGAGATATGCCAGGCTGCCTCCACCAGGAAAGATTAAAAGATTTGAAAAAAAAAAGGATAAAAAGATTGAAACTCTGAATAAAGAGTATATTTCAGAGCACCTCACGAACGATTCAAGCAACTGTTACACAATTTCTCTAATGATAACGCCATACCTGTAGTGCCAGGCTTAATCCACCGTTCTCTTCGCGATCAAAATACAGTAACTGTACAAAAGACATTCACTTAGTTGAATAGTTCTATGCATTATTATTATACGAATATTTGAAAATATAAAAGAGGGTCACAGAAAATAGAATCTCAACAGTTAGATCTAAAATAGAATCTCTAAGAAATTCATGGATGAGAAGTTCAAGATATGATTGTCTGGCTAAGAAACTAAGCTTCTGGTTAATCTAAGCCTGAGCATAAACAAACACTATCCCCTCTCCTTCTACAATGTAAATTCTGTTATATTTGTTACTTCAAAAGAATTCTGTTATATTTGTGAAATTACTGGGATACTGTCATCACTATTTAGAAATAACATAGCATCTCACTGATCACTGACAAGAATGATTAGTTACAAAGTGTCACAGGTAAGCTGTGACCAGCTAGCTCATGCAACCAGGCCAGGAGTTGTGCAACTCTCTGACCAGAATCACCACCAGAGAGCAGTGGGACCCTCTGTTCAAGATTTGGTTGCCATCAACCTTGCTGCAACCACAACCAAATCATCCCTGCTACTGCCATCCTATTGAGTTCCAACATATTCGGTTGCCATCAAGCTTGCTGCAACTAACTCATCCTTGCTACTGCCATCCTATTGAGGTCCAACATCTATTACATGACCTGCAAACTTTCAGTTTTTATTTTCTTCTATTATTTTCACAATTTTCTGACTTAGCATCCTATAAATAGTCTTTTCAACCCAAACAAATACCTCTATGTGATATAGGACAAATTATGGTTAATTTGGCTACTTAAGGACTTGAGGATGAAAACCTAGATAGACCACCCAGGGTCTCTTAAACATCACATATAAGAAGGCTTAAGCATCATATTTAAGGGTTCGATTGTATCACACAACTATGAAATTGAAAAATTCTCAGAGTATTTTACTGAATAATGAATTTTGTCTCAAGACATAAGACTATGGAGATATTTATAATGCTTCCTTACTAAAATTTACTAAACAGGATTAAACCACAAAATACTAAAGCTAATAAGAATGGAAAAACTACTCCGAATAAAAGATCTACAATCTGATGTCATCTAAAAACTATAACAGACTAGGGCATGTTTAGCTTGCAGACGGTCTTGCATAATTGTCTGCTTTTACTTTCTTTCTTTTTTTTTTTTTTTGGTGTGGGTGAGCTAAAGGGAATGAAAGAATTGGTCCAATGGCTCATAAGTATGGAGAATGAGGCACAACAATTGGCATAATAGTCTTGTTTATGTACATAAACATGTTAGTTTTGTCTTGCAATGAAACAAATGCAATTTAATTCAAAATTGTAAATTATTTATTTATTTTTGAATGGATTTATTTTGTGTAATTTTCAAGCTATGTTCATGAAATTTTATATTTGGGTTTCGTCAATTTCATTTCATGTTCTAGTTATGTTATTATCCTGTGTCTGACATTGTCCTTTTTTAGAAAAACTCAAGTGCCTCATCATGAATAAGTCACATTTCAAGGTCTTAAAACCATTAAGTACAAGTAGCCAAGGAATAATAATTTGAAAACTTTTCATCTGCTCCCTTAACCAAACTGAAAAACCCACAGAACGTAGTTCACTATCAGTTAAAAAGATTTCACGCTGGATATCAGTTGTAATATCAAGAGTATTTTTACCAGTTTTAAAAGCTTATATTGAATCTAAAAGCAAAATATGAAATAATAAAAGTGTGAACTCTCAGCAGGACATAAGACCCACCTTGAACTTGCTTTTATCAGATGACTGAACTCGGAATACAAACCCAGAACGCGCTTCCTCTTCTGTAATTTTGACAGAATAGAAGTGAGCACATTGCTTTTCCACCTGTTAGAAGATGACAAAAGCAGGAGAAGAAAATCAAAGAACAATCAACAAGCAGCTAAAGAAAATTTAACTTGTAGCTAGAAAGAAAGTGTCTGAATATGTAACCTTCCTAGATACAGGATGGCCCAGCAGAAGTGGACAAATTGTAACAACACCATTGAGTGCCTCCTCCAAGACTGTTGCAGACACAGTGGTCTTGATTGGTACACCAAGTTTACTATTTCATGGAAAATGGAAAAACAAGCATTAATCCACACAGTTCCTTAAAGATTACTTAAGAAGTATCAAAATAAATGAACGGACCTGAAAAGTGCTGCAAACATAGTGTTCACGGCCCCCAAACTTGAAAGATCTAACTCTAACTCTTGGCCTTCTGATTCAACAGCCTATATCAGGAAACAGACATCATGTTAAACAAAACTTCCATGTTGACCAAATGGAAATATTTAAAGGATTAGATCCAATATCCTAAAAAGTCAAATGAACTAGTCACAGATGCAATAACTGGATCCTCAACATCCATAAAATTGATTGTGCTGCGAGTGGGAGGGAGGTGACAATCATAGCATCAAGAAAAATTGCGACCTCAATCTCAATGACTTATAGCGTGCTTGTATGTATCTCACCTCAAAACCAGCTGTGTCATACTGGCGTCGCTTTTCTGGATCAGACAATATATTGTAGGAGAAGGTGACCTCCTTAAACATGTCAGCTGCTACTGGATCATTTGCATTCTTATCAGGATGATACCTGAATAATGTTACATTAGCATCCATATTGCAAGAACAGAGGTTGATCAATAGAAATACAAAAACAGCATTGGGAACTATAAAGTAATGGTAAAGCATCAGTCCTCTACTAGGACCAATAAGCTCCCTCCTACCACAGCATTTTGACCCTAAATGCCCTAAGATTAATAATTTGATCTACTGTAACATGCAAGACATATATGTATTGGATGCACTTCTTTGCTGGGTGATAATCTTCAAATATCAGCAAACAAGGATATAGATGCAGGTTACGATCCAGTATGCTTTGTGCAGGGTCATAACCATCAAATTACCAGAAGTGTGAGATGCACAATTCTCCCCAAGTCTCTTATGCCTGTGGAGGAGCATCGCGTTTGCTTCTTGTGACAACATAAAAGAGAAGCTCTTGGTTGACATGTTTCAAGGTCACACTCACAAACTAATGCACAATTACCGGATTCCTACATTAGCACCTGTTTTGCAATATTGCCAAAAGACAAGAACCTCAGAAATTTAATCGTCCATTTTTATCAGGTTGAGTCTTTTCTTTCCTAATAAAGTCTAAAACATCCACAAACAAAGTCTCTTCATTGTCCATGATAGGAACACAACAGGTACTCAGTAAGTAGATTCCAAAACTGTCTTAGTAAACAATGCCAGAAGACCACAATATTCGCTAATTACATCACAGATGCCTCAATCTTATTCCGCAGATCATTTGGCTAAAGCTTATCTGTAAAAAGCCTTCCATATTGCAAACTGACATTTGCTATATGCATGTGTTCAAGCAGCTGATGTCAGCCATCACAGAGTTGATAGCAACAAATTCTAAAGGGACTTCCATCAGATTCACGTTCTTCAAGAGGCTGTCTTAAAACTTAAAAGATTTTACTCCATGAAAGATCATGGACGTAGGTAGTCAAACTAGATAATTTAAAAGCTCGTCCATCCAACAGAAGAATAAAATAGTTGTCCATAATTTGTTTTCTAGAGTTCTATCTACTAAAAAAGGAGTAGAAGAGTTTTCATCTTCTTTCAACGATCCTTGGATTCTCAGCCACATAGGAAATATCTCAAGCTATTAGAGAATCGTTGCTGCCGTTTGTTTCTTTTTTCTGTTCAGCAATATTCTGTTAAATTTTCTGAAGGAATAGCTGAGGCATCTACAAAACGTCCAAAATCATATTACTGGACAAGGCGTGATCACTGTCACCTCTTCTTGTTATAATATCCAATGCCAGACCATTACCAGCATAGCGCAGAACCACCAAATGCCAGAATAATCAGAAAGCTCTACCAACAGTTTTTGCCGGTGCATCAGTCACTCCAGTCCAACCTGTTCCTGTTCCCAACCGCTGATCCTCCGTTCTTTACTTTGATATATTCGTCACTAATATAGCAGAACACGCACTTGAATCATAAGAAACAATCTAAAATGGAAAAATGGCGAGTTTTCTTGTCATTATTTCTTATAACTAACAGACCAACAGGCCGTGACGAAAACAAGTGTTAGATTATCCCATTGCAACGAGAAAATTAAATGAAAATAAAAATCCCTAATTTCACTGAAGCAACTATCCAATTACAGCCAATATAGAACACGAAAGAGAAAGCCACGAACGAACATTTCAAGACAAACAACCCCTAAAATAAAGCTGAAAGTCGCCAAAGACAGTTACACATACTTGAGAGCCATTTTCCTGTACGCGCTCTTGATTTCCTGATCCGTAGAGTTCCTTGAGAGACCTAGAACCTCGTAGGGGTCCCGCCTGTGCTGCTTCCCGGCGTTGCTTTTCTCCGACTTTGATCTTCGAGCCGGCATTTTCACTCCAAACCCGAAATAATCAGTTCTTTTTTTATCAAATCCCTATAAAATCCTCGCTAAACCTCGAAAATCCGAAAAGAATTTACGGGAGCGAGAAATCTTCCGCTACTCTCCCCTCATCTCAATGAACTTGCACAGAAAACTCCTGCTTAGGGAGCAAAATTAAACGCAACTTGAAGCCCTAGATATGAGAAAGAGAGATTCCATGGATGATGGACCTCTCCAAGCTGGAACTTTGAGGAGAGAGAGGGAGAGAGAAAGAGACAAGGGAGCGAAAAATTGGAGGGGAGGGGAAGTGAAGTGTAAAATTTTGTTATTTTGGAGTTGGGACACTGTTTGGGTAGCTTATGTATTAAAATTCAAAAACGAAATTGCTTTTAGATAAAGCGCGCTGAGTGCGTAATACGCACGGGGCCGTTGATGCCGTTTAAGCACGTGACATTGAAAATGCGGGCAGTTATAGAGCCGCAACCTCAATGCAATTTTCGAAAGGGCGTTGTACACTGCGCACCCAGCGCATGGCAGAGAAGAAAAGAATGTGATTTGAATTACAGAAGACCTGTTATTATTATTATCTATGGGAGTTCAAAACAAGAGTCCCCCAAGTAGGATGAGATTAAGGCATGATTTATGGTTAAAAATATAAATATTTAAAAAAAGGGAAAAAATTAATTTTTTTAAAAATCGTAATCAGTGGGGATATTGAACTACAAGGAAATAAATTGATTATATTTATTATTTTTTATCATAATTTTTTAATTATATTTTTATTATTGATTTTCATGGTACGATTTATTGGATAATAAATTATTAACAATATGGTTTTGGATTCTTTTGGGGGTCCCATCGTCCAACTCACCAATATGCTTGAATGCATTTAAGTTATTAACGCATCATTAGGTAATAAGGTTAGTTCAACTCCTCCACAATAATAATTAAATCTCTAAAATATTAAATTTTAATTAAAAATTAATGAAAATTAGTCATCTAGCTGGAGTTCTAATTATTTCAACTGTTTCAATAGAAAAATTAATACCATAATATTTTTTTTAAAATAAATCTTTATTTTGTCTAACTAAATCAATTAGTTTTTCTTTTAAAAATACTAAAATAAGAAGAAAAATATATACTGTTTACTTAAAATGTTTATTTTTGTTTTATTGGGCTGCTTTTACTACGGTATTTTTGTATTTAAATATTTTATATAATGAAAATAATTTTTCTTTTTCGGATTACACAAAACCAAAGCCATAAATTCTAGTTCTATTCT